GCCCCCCCCCCCCCGGCAAAGTGCTGGAACTCCAGGTGTAAGTCATCACACCTGGCCTTATTTTTTATTTTTATTTTTTTTATTTATTTTTGAGTTGCAGTTTCACTCCGTCGCCCAGGCTGGAGTGCAGTGGCACGCTCACGGCCACCCCAGCATTGACCTTCTGGGTTCCAGGGATCCTTCCGCCTCACCCTTCCAAGTAGCCGGAACTACAGGCACGTGCTATCACGCCCGGCTAATTTTTGATTTATTGGAGAGACGAGGTCTCTCCAAGTTGCCCGGGCTGGTTTACTTTATTTCTTTTTTCAGAGCTGGGATCACTCCCTGTCGCCCAGGATGGATGGAGTGCAGTGGCACGATCATAGCTCACTGCAGCCTTGAACTCCTAGGCTCAAATGATCCTCCTGCCTCAGCCTCTTTAGTAGCTGGGACTACAGGCACGCGTCACCACACCCGGCTAATGTTTTTAATTTTTGTAGAGACAGGGTCTTGCTGTGTTGCCCCAGCTGGTCTCAACCTCCTGGCCGCAAGCAATCCTCCCACCTCAGCCTCCCAAAGCTCTGGGATTACAGGCGTGAGCATGTGGTGGCCCTATGCTTGCAGGTGCGTTTGAAGATTGCTGCTTGGCATACCACCGTGCTGGGTTGGCCATGCTCCAGCACGCCCGGTGTTACCGGCGCCAGGAGGTGAGCGGGAGCTGCAATCTGCCTGCTGTGATGTGAGTGGGACCATGGGGTCATGGGGGGTCGGACTCACGCACAGCTTGGCTTCCTGCCTGCACCCTGACCCAGGCATCCCCTCTAACCTGCCACAGATTCTACTTCCCCCGGAGACGCAGGATGGTGTGTGGGAACCCGCAGGCCAGGGAAGTGCAGAATGCCATGAGGCACCTGGACAGGCGGCACAAAACGTCCGCAAACCTCTGCCACAGCGCACAAAAGACCTTCCAAGGTGAGTGGGACCCCAGCCCGACACCTAGGGTGCCCCCTCCTCTGCCTGCAGGGCCCCGTGTTTCTCAGCCTCCAAGGGACCCCAAAGAGAGCAGTTGCTGGTGAGTGGGGAACAGTGAATGACTGACCAAGTCATCATCCAGCTTTTTTCTTTTAAGAGTTGGGGGTCTTGCTCTGTTGCCCAGGCTGGAGTGCAGTGGCCCAATCATAGCTCACTGCAGCCTCAACTTTGGGGTCCAAGGCATCCTCCTGCCTCAACCTCCCAAGTAGCTGGGATTATAGATACATGCCATCATGCCCGGTTCATTAGAAAAAAAATTTTAACCAGGCTCGATGGCTCAGCTTGAAATCCCAGGACTTGGGGAGGCCGAGGCAAGTGGATTGCCTGAGCCCACAGGTTTGAGACCAGCCCAGGCAACTTGGCGAGACTTCGTCTCTACCATAAATTTTAAAAATTAGCCGGGTGTGGTGACGCGCGCCTGTAGTTCCGGCTACTTAAAAGGCTGAGGCGGAAGGATTGCAGAGCCCAGCAGGTCGACACTGGAGTGGCCATGAGCGTGCCACTGCACTCCAGCCTAGACGACGGAGCGAGACTCCGACTCAAAAAAAAAAAAAACTTTGTAGGAATAGGGTCTTGCTATGCTGTCCAGGCTGGTCTCAAACTCCTAGGCTCAAGTGATCCTTCCTCTTTGGCATCCCAAAGTGCTGGGATTATAGCCATGTGTCACCAGTCCAGCACTTTTAATCAAGACTTTCCATTGCTGCAGATGGAAAGCTCCAGCAAATGGGAAACTTACAGCTTAAATAACCAACAACTTCAGGCTTAGTTGGATCCAGGGGCTCAAAGGGTGTGGGTAGAGCTCTTGTCTCTCCCCATCTCTCCATCAGGCTCTCATGCTGGAAGGAAGAAGCTACCATTGTCTAAGGTTAGCGATCCCACCGGCGGTAGCAAGAGGAATGCCTCCCTTTTCCTGAGAGCAGCTCATCCAGGTCTGGGCCCTTGGTCATGTGACCATCTTTTACCTTTGCTGAGGGTTGAGGGCTCGTGACTGGCTCACAATGGGACAGAGGATTTCCCTCCAGGACCAAGGAGGCCTGGCTGTATAGTCAACCCCACAGGTTCATATGGGAGCATCCTCCGTGGCTATCCACTACCCCAGGGAGGTTTTGGCAGGTGTGGAAGTGAAACCCTAGACAAGTGGACAGAGAGCTGCAGGTGCCTGCATACCGAGTAGTTCTCCAGTGGACATCCAGCTGAGTGTCCTGTACTTATATGGCATTCTGACATTGTCAACCTAGAGATAGTGTCAGATCCCACAGCTCAAGGACTGAGTCCCACACGAGTGTCACCACTTCAGATGCCAGTTGCAAGGAGCAGGTTGTCACCTGTACTTTTTTTTTTAACAGATGAGGTGTCGGCTGGGCGCAGTGGTTCATGTCTGTAATCCCAGCACTTTGGGAGTCAGAGGCGAGAGAATTGTCTGAGCCCTGGGGTTCGAGACCAGCCTGGGCAACTTGGCGTGACCTCGTCTCTACAATAAAATTTAAAAATTAGCTGGGCGTGGCGGCATGTGCCTGTAGGTCTGGCTACTTGGAAGGCTGAGGCAGAAGGATCGCCTGAGCCCAGCAGTCAAGGCTGTGACTTGATCATGCTACCACACCCCAGCCTGGGTGACAGGTTGAGACTCTGACTCAAAAAAAAAAAAAAAAAAAA